CCCCGTTACTTTTGTGTTCCCTGAAACAGCCTTGCATTTCGTGCTTCTATATCTCTCCTGCCCCGTGGAGCTATGAAGCTGATGCAATCTATAAGGCCAGGTGGAGATGGCCGTGCTGGTCTGCTATGGTTGCACTTTGTCCAGAGGTCTAGTATGGGCAACGCATGAACCACATGGCTCATTTGCACAAACAGCTGTGTCTTGCAGAGTCACCACTGCCAACATTTGGTGGCAAAACGATGGGTTTTGGAAGCCTTGGGTTTCTTTACAAACAGGCCATGTTCACAGAACACCTGTAACCTAGAGATTGGATGAATCCATTTTCCGGTTTGTACAACATATTGAACCATAAACTAACCAAATGGCCTGGGTTTACACAACACACTAAGCCACAGAAATACTAACCAAGGTTAACACTAGTCAAGCTTAGCATGTTGTGCATTGGCAGCCACTGACTGCATTAATTGGGTTAAATCTTTTGGGTGAACATAGCCATAACATATCAAAATAGGTGTGTCAGTTTTTGGGAGACTTGATATACCTGTTATATTTTGTTTCAGCAGTGGCCTAAGAACCTTCCAACTTCCTGAAAAAAAATAGGCTAAATATTTTAGGCCCCAATATTTACCTTTATGTCAGTCTCTTATGACCTTGAAACATAGCACCTATACCAATCTTGATGTAGTAAACAAGGCAACTTTGCCCAAGAAGAGCCAGCCACACAGTCTAATCAGAAGCCACACAGTAATCTATGGGACGCAAAGACTATGTTTGCACTTGAGTTGTTTAAATTTGTTTTATTGAATAAACCATAGATGGTTAAGCTTGCCCAAAAACTAAGCCAAAACATTACCTACTTTATAGCTCAGGATACTGCTTATCACCAACCTGAGCTGCAGAATGCTAGTGTGGCTGCTCTTGACCTCATATAGAAGATATTACAGAGTAGTAGAATACAGAAGATTGATTTTTTTTTTAGTTTGATTTCCCCTCTCCCACCAACATCTAGAAATTATTTGCCATGAAATATATCGTTTGGTTTGGAGGATCTGCCCTGATTTCTTTTGTGCTGGTAAGAAAAAGAAATGGAGCACGTTTTGAGCATCTTTTTCATTTCTTGTTCTGTGAGTGCTGCCTTGGTTGTGTGTACAGGTTGAGTGGTTGAGGAACCTGGTCTAATTCGCCAGGTAGGGATGTCCACAGGGTCTGGTCAAAAAGTCAGCATGAGAGCCACAATGATGTAATCAAAGCCCCGCCCCTTTTGGATGAGCAGAAGCGATCATGCACCTGAAGCTCCACCCCCTTTACATGGGCACACATAAGAACTTGGGGAGCTTCAATGGAACCCTTGTGGCTGCCATCTTGGGTTTATATTTACCATACCTTGCAGGCATTCCTGTTCCTGGGGCATTTTCAGGAAGTTGTGGGAAGGAGGGGAAAGAAAGGAACAATAGGCCCTGTGAATAACAGTACCGAGCGATTGCCTCCAGTTATGATTACAGAATCATTCCTTCAACCGTAGAGATATTGGCTTTTTTAGAGAAAATGTATATCTATAAGCATCAGATTGCTGACAGGATGTTTAAGTCTGTCTAGTGAGACAAATAATAATTCCACTACTTAGGAAGAAATTTCCACCATGCCTCCAAACATGTGAATTCAACTGAATCCTGGATTTTAAAAAAAATGGAAAAGAAACCGTCCTAAATTCAGGCATGACAAAATAATGTGGGGTTGGGTTTTTTTGAAGTGAGGGGGGAGGAAACTATCCTAATTTTGCACTCAAAAAGAAACCATTCAGCTTGATCAGAAAAATAGACAATATTCCATTTTCTTGTCATCTCCTTACTGGTCCTGGCCACACCAGCCATGCTGTCCACTGGGTATGGTCTAAAAAGCTAGAGAGGCACCCATGATAGTATGATCGAAGATCCCATTTATACATAAAAAAAAATAATCCTGACTTTTTGAACCATACCCTGTGGACTTCAGAGTCAGTGGGGCACACACCAATTGGCACCTCAGTGCTCTCACTAAAGGTTAGTTTGCTCAACTCGGTTTCACTGAACTCATCAAAAGCATGAAGATGAGATCTGGCTTGGAAATGTCTATGGCAGCCTTTCCCCACTTATTTTCTTCCCTTTGAGTTGGGCATCCAACTTCATCATTCCCTCAGGGCCATGCTGGCTGAGGATTTCTGGAGCCTCTACATCCAAACAAATCTGGGTGGTATTAGGTTAGAAGAAGTGGTTTAAATTACAGAAGTGAAAATCCAACACATCTGGAGGCCACCAGCTTGGAGAAGATGAGGTTAATGACTTAGGGCAAGAGGCAGTTCATCCCCCCACCCCACCCCCCACACACCTTGGGTGATAAACCAAGTCAAGTCAATCATAATTGAGATGATCAAGGCTGCATCTGTTAGCCAGCTTGACTGTTGACACTCAATTTGGCCCTAGAGGATGGTTGACCACAAGGGGATCCAGCAGAAAATTAATCATCACATTTCTAAGGCAACAACTGATCCTCACCCCACCCCGAAACAGTGCCAGGCAAAATGATCTTTCATAAATTTCCATCAAACCTCTGGGCAGAGCAATTAGGAAGACCAGGGAAAAGCAAAATTTGTGATGACAGTATTATCATTACTGAAAATACTTTATGGGAAGGGTTTCTATCTAATGTTTTCTGTTAAATTTAATGGAAGTACAGGGAGCCAGGGGACTACAGAGAGCTGGAAAAAAGATTGGTCAACAAAATACACATTCTTCACACACACACACACACACACACACACACACTTACTTCTTGGCCATCTTTTAACTACACAAGTGCAAGAATGCTAGCTTGAGAATTGCACCTAAATTTTCTTCTCCCCTGAACTATTTTCCAAGATAAATTGTCTTCTGTTTGATTGAAGGAGCTCTGATAAGGAGAAAAAAAAAATTGCACCCTGCCCAGGCCTTCTCTTTGCCAAAACATCCGGTTAGATGATGGACAAGCCCACCATATTGCTGTTTTTAAACACACAGCCATCCCGCAGATTCTCAGCACTTGCTTTGCACAACCAGAAAAAGTGATGTCACACCAGGCAAAGATGCTGCTAATGAACACCTGAAGGACCCCCACTGACATGTCACCTAGATGACTGAGCAAAGGAAGCCTTTCTGGAGGTGGAAATCCAGTGTGGATGGTACCTCAACATCCCAAATGAATTATGCTCTGTTTGCCTGTACAAAGGGCTGAGGGAGGAAACGTCACTGGAACAGGAGTTCCATTTTCTTACTCTTCTTTTCTTTCCATCTGTGCTCACCTTGCAGGATGTTATTGTGTCATCCTGTAAGAGTCTGCTAAGTCACAAATCTCATTGGTTTTAATTTAAAAGCGGCTGCACATTTCCCAGTATACATGGTGATAGTTAGATTCTCACTCTCTATCTCTTCCTCTCCTCAGATTCAGAAAGTTCTAGAAATGGCCACTGAGTTTATAGTTTCACATTTCATTACATACACATTTGGGGAAAATGAGGCTGAACATACAAAATAAACTCGTGAGCTGGATCACAATTGTATCAGTAGTAGTAGGATGCAGTAGTAACAGTGGTAATTACAAAAACAGCAGAAAGCAAGCAGAAAGAGAGACAGAGAGAGAGAGAGAGAGAGAGAGACTCCTGTGGAATCAAAATATAGTAAATTCAGTGTAATAATCTGGAAGAAACCCTCTGAGGGAAAAGATTAAAGCCTGGCACTAATGCAGGCCCAGAGCAAAGGGTAACATGGGCTGTTTGGGGTCTTAGCCTGCTAATTTCCTGGGCAAAAGTGAGTTATTCAATATGTAAGCCAACATTTCCTTAATATGGTTTACTGAATAAACTACAAATTGACTGACTTCATACAACACACTAAATCATAAACCCTGGTTTACAAATCACACTGGCTCAAGTCATACAGCACACTAAACCACAAGCAAGTAAATCATATTTTGCCTTAGCGTGTTGTGTGAACTCTACCCATGATAAATTCAGCCGATTACGTGAAAACTATGCCTCCCTATTGCAAATGGGCCCTGGACACAAAGCTCAGGGAAGAATCACAGTAGGGCTGGTACAAACCCCTGGAACAGCAATGCAAACATGAAGGAGGGGAAATCAGGAGACCATCTCGTAGTCTTTCTTTTCGTTGTTCATAAATGTTGACCATGCCTTGTAGATAATGCCAGAAACTGGAGTCTTTCCGACTACTCTTTCTGTGCTGCGCTACAATATCTTGCATCACTATCATCTCGATTTTGCCCTGAATACCACCTTGTTCCACACTGAATGGATTCGTAAGCTATCACTTCTCAGAATTTTAACCAACAGCCATGCGAGCTGGACACACATCTAGACCTTGGAGGCACCTGATAGGAAGAAGAAGGCTGATCGAGGATGAATTTGCCTTGTTGAACTAAAAGTCCAGGGAGGTGATGGGAAAATGTGGAAGAGGGGAGTGGGGGAAAGAGATCTTTCTTGCTTGAGGCTCATGGTGAGGCTCTTCCACTCTCTAGACCACCAATCGGTGTAGGAGTGTAGTGTTGATTTAAAAAAAAAAAGATTTCTCATGGATGCCTTTGAATCAGGTTATAAAGTATTGGCCTTTAAAAAAAAAACCCACAAATATACCATGTCATGCTATTTGTAGGCATTTACTACTAGTTGGCAAGAGTAGATATATCAAGGTGGATCATTTGTTTCAATGAGTGGTCAGAATCTAAGAAGACCCCGCTGGTTCCATAGGACCAGATATATTATCACTCTATAGACCAGGTGTCCCCTAACTTGGCAATTTTAAGACTTGTGGACTTCAACTCCCAGAGATCTCAAGTTTGGAGACCTCTGCTATAAAGACTGAAAGGCCTGGGAATTTAAACAGTCCTGAAAAGTACTTGGAAGATGCCACAGATGATCCCTTTATCTGGAGAAGGACAAGAATTAGCCTCAAATGGAGACTAATAAAACCAATGAGATGAGTCCCAGGTATTTAGCCTTTTCTCACGTTGACCATGGCATCTACCCATTATCTATCATGCCATATCTGGATAGAACTCTAGTTTTCTCTCATCACCTTGTGGTTTGGGTTCTTCGTCCCCCTATTTTAATAAAGCCAATCCTTTTTCAGGTGTGGTTCCTTCTTTCATCCCATTCAATTCTGGACCTTCCGTTTTTTCTTTGCATGGAAGAAAAGATGTTACCCATTTCCAAAATTTATTATTGGGGATATCATATTAGCTTCTTGTTAGGTTCAGCCTTACAAGTTTCATTACTGGAGGTGCAAACGCTGAAAATAAGGTGCCACCGGTCCTTCCCATTCTTCCTTCCTACTTAACCTGCCCATCCCAGCAGCATAATGCCAAATGCCATGTGTAAGTGCAAACTGCGCATATTTGTATGCTGGAGCAAATGGTATCAGGGCCCATTCTCCCACATGGCCACGTGCGTGCGCATTTCATCCTGTGAGCTGTTTCTGTTGCAAACCCAGATGGCATGAAAATGAACATGAAAATGAGCAAACGAGTTCCGTTCCTGTTACACCCCCATGTCTATGGGGCAAGGCAGAGTCAGGGGCTAGATTTATAGCAATCAAACACTTGTTGCTTCCTTTCTGCACCAGCCATGCCACAAATACCTCAGATCTATTTTTCCTACCTGTTGAACAAATCCTCAGCGATTCGGCTAAAAGGATGGAGCTATAATGGAGCCATCGCATGATAAACCTAGGTTAGTTCTTCCCCATTGCTCTTGGTAGCTGCATAAAATGTGGGCCATATATGGGCAAGGAATGAGCGAGGAGAAGAAGAAATCAAATTAGAATTTAGGTAGTTAGAAAGCCAGTGGAAAATTTGTTCTAAAACTTTTTCATGGAAGCCATCTAAGTCAGCGGCCCCCAACTTTTGGGGCACCAGGGACTGGTTCCAATGGAAAGAGGTTTTTCCATGGACCGGAAGGGGTCTGGTTTCATGTGCTGCCTGTATCCCACAGATGGGGCTTCACTTGTTTGTGTGGCCCAGTTTCTGGCATGCCTCAGTCTAATGCCGGTCCACAGACTGGGAGTTTGGGGGCCCCTAATCGGGATTAGCGTGGATGCTTGGCAATAGCTCTAGACTGTTCTTCAGGTCACAGATCCCGTTCCCTCTTTCTGTGCAATAGTGCAAATGCCCAGGGAGGGAGAGAAGGAGGATTGAGGGGGGGGGAAGCGACTTTGCAATGCCATGGCTAAGTTGTGCCTATTGCACACATCAAAGACAGATCCGACTTACTGCACAATACAACTGGCACAAGGCGGGAAGCCGCCGGTACCTGTCAAAACATTTTTTTACCCTACATTGTGTTTGTGTGTGTGTGTGTGTGCGTGCGTGCGTGCATGTATAGTGTAGTGTCATTGTCAAGTTTCAACAGATGGCTCTAGCCTGGCTGAAGAAATGAAGGCAAAGAACAGAAGAAGAAGAAGGAGAAGAAGGAGAAGAAGAAGAAGAAGAAGAGCAGGGCTGAATGGTGGAGGAAAGAGTTCTGGTTCCCCTCTTCACCCCCACTCGCTGCTGGGCCTGAGCAGCCTGAATGGGCCTCATCCAGGTACCCAGCTTTGATTGTTGGGCTGTGGGGCACTGGGCAAAGGGGCCACGTTGAGACCGTTCTGTGGCGGAAGAGCCGAGTCAAAGTTGAAGTCCATCTCGTCACTGTCCATGAAGTCATTGAGGATGATGGACTCCACATCGCATTCCAAGCTCCCGTTGAACATGTCCAAGTCTAGGTCGGCGGGGAATCTGTCCTGACTCAAAACAGGGGTATGCATGGCTTCTGGGTAAGGTCCCTGCAAGGAATCTAGCAAGCTCATGTGCGCCCCCTGATTGCCGACGTAGGAATGGAGGTGCCCGTGATGAGGCATGCTCACCATGCTGCAAGGGTCACTGGGCAGGCTCATAAGGCTGATCGGAGAGGGTAAGGCACTGTTGTTAAGGGGAGGGGGGTGGCCGGCTGGTGATGGGTGGTGATACAACGTGTTGCTCTTCATGAGAGAGGACGCGTGGGGAGGGTAGGGGACCAAGCCTATCTCTCCGCCCCCACCCGCACCGCTACACACCAGGGCATTTTGTCTGTGGTTGCGGGGCAAGCCCATGCTGTTGGCCGGGGGCAGGTGCGGCTCCCCTTCCTTGTGCGCGTAGGAAATGGACGAGAGCAGGTCCTGCAACGAGGCATTGCGGTAGGAATTCATGGGGACGAAAGTGGCCTGCTTGTTCTCTTGGATGGTCTGCATGGGCAGGCGGCGCATGATGCTCATGGCAGGCTGGCTATAAATAGTCCCAGAGTAGGTATTCCCGCCTCCTCCCCCTCCCGCACCACCTGCACCCACGGAGGAGCACTTGGAGCTGAAGCCGAAGTTGGAGGTCCTGGGCCGAAGTCCTCCAGCTGAAAGCGGCTGGGCTGGGCTCATGCTGTAGTTGTCCTGCAGGTCCTCGAGAAGGCTCTCCCCCAGGCTCTCGTTCAGGTTGATGGTGCCGGTCAGATCGGTCAGCCTGGGCATCTCCACGGAGCAGCGGGCGTTCAGGGAGGGCGACAGGGTGCTCGAAGGGCTGGGGTACATCAGCGGGGAGGACGGGGTCCCGTCGTCCTCCTCCAACTCATCCGGCTCATGGTTGGCCATGATGGGGGAGAGGCGACTACTCAGCGTGCTGGCCGAGGAGTTGGCCCGTGTCCGGAAGTCAGCCCAAGCGTCGTATTCCTCGCCGGCATGGGAGGTGGGACTCTCGGACCATTTGGCCTGCTGGCTAGCTGCGCTTTCCTCTCCTCGTTCCTGAGCAGCCTGGCTCTGCTTCTTCCGACTGGCTTTGCCCTTGATGCGCAGGAACTTGCTGTTGTTGTCCATGGAGACGGCTCGCCGGCGGGGCGTCTTCCCCGTTTTGCCCCCTTCGGGGTTCAGCATCCACCAGGAACTTTTGCCGGTGCCTTCGTTTTGCACACGGATGAAGCGGGTGTGCAAGGACAGGTTGTGCCGGATTGAGTTCTGCAAGCAAAACAAGACCAAAAGAGGAGAGAGAGGGAAAGAGAGAGGGAGGGAGAGGGAGAGGGAGGGAGGGAGAGAGAGGGGGGAGGGAGAGAGGGAGGGAGAAAGGGGGAGAGAGGGAGGAGAGAGAGGGGATAGAGAGGGGGAGGGAAGGAGGGAGAGGGAGGGAGGGGGTGAGAGGGAGAGGAGAGAGAGAGGGAGAGAGAGGGGGG